GCCACCAGCTACATACCAGTTATGAAACACTTTCGAGTGGTATACCATAAAATATTCCGCGAGTCACTTGTATTTTTTCGGCATACAGACGAGCCTTTAGATGAGCGTGTATACCAACAAAATACAAGTGACAAGTGGAATAGTCCATGTTATTAAAAACTGGATCATGGATAAAATGTAATTCAAGAGTTTTCAGTGGCTTAGCCATCATACGTTATGAGCCATTAAACCATGCTCTACAAATATGGTAAGCGTGCGCTTGGTTTTGGGGGACGTTTTTATTTTTATTTTAGTTTAGTTTTCTATATTTTAAGGGCGTTCTTAATAAAACAATTATTCCACTCGCCCTTGTTGGATATGAGATATGATTATAGCCAACTCATATCCAACGCGCGCTCGTGGAATAACTACTCGAAAGCATTGCATAAGAATTTATACCATACCATAGAAAATACATTGGCCAACACAGTGACATACGACATACGCGCGGCGCATGATGGGAAGGTTGGGTGTAATACCGTCGAATATACAACGGCTTTCCTTTATTCTGATTGGCTGTATTTTCAATGGCATGGTATAAATAGTCTGAAATCGGTCGTGTTTATACTTTGTACAGTAGACAGAAAAACGTGTTTTGAGATATTGTAGTTTTAAATGATCTAGCTTGATCTTTGAAACTTGATAATAAGTCTGGGACAAAAAATCAAACAAGTTTCAAATCATGTTGACTAAAAATCAATTTTTGACTAGAGCGGAGGTAACGAATATTTTGTCGTGTTTAACTCGATATTTCGAGTAAAACACGTGAGAAACTCCAGGCATCCGTCTGTTGTTCTATACTTTTTTAGATAATTTCTGTACGTTCTTAAAGAACAAAGGAGAAGGAAAAGTGCAAGTATTTTGCTAAATAAAATATGTATATGTTTTTTTGGTTTTCGATGTTTTATAATCATCAATACAGAGGAAGAATGCAGTTTTCCTTCTGTTCAGATATCAGAATTAAATACCTTCATCTTTCCGTGGTTGCTTGTCCTGGAAAGGGTTTTCTTCGTGTTTGGCCAAAGACGTTTATATATATATATATATAAAAAAAACATTTAAAAAATGGTACCCTGGACCCAAAAGTCGTTGTAGTTTTCGTGGCCTCGCTTGGCTCACATCTGACTAAAAAAATGTGTGCGTATGTATATATGTAAAGTCGTAGCAGTTGCCACTGGCACTATTGTGGTTCATTTTATTACTTTGAGCTTGAAGAATGACGTACCCTGGGAGCAGTTAGTTTCTACATCGAACGCTTGTTCGGCGTAGGAGGAACGCGAACTGCTCGTGGGGTAAGCATGACGTCGACGTAGCGAGTGAATGTTTGCTTTTGTGTTTGTGTAGTCTGAACCCTGCTTTTGGTTTTAAGTGCATATAATGGATTTTTCTCTTGCTTCTAAATCTACACATCACCCAGAGAACTCGTGAGGTAAAATATGTGATATGAACAAAATGCGATTTGTTTCCAATTATTAAGTCTATATTTTTGCGGTACACCCACGCCGTACATTAAAATGCATTTTTTCCAGATTTCTTACTACCTCGAAGAAATTTTTTTCGAACTCAGCTTCCTTACTTCAGCCTAAGCACATCACAGCTCTTTTGTCACTGAGAACTGAGAGAAGACTAAGGTGAATGCTCAGACGAAATAGCAAGTTTTTCTTCAGTTTTTTTTTTTTTTCAACTCGAAAATGATTTTGCGCAAAAGTCCTTCGGACAATATGTAGAATCCAGTGAAAAGAAACAAAAACGACCCCAACCCCCC